GATTAAGCACTTAATTACAAATAATTATCTTTAATTCATTTATTGTGTTCTCAAAATTAAATAAAATTTATGTGTCTGATCTTTAAATGTCTTTTATTCAAAAAAAATTGTTATGTAAGATATTTCAAATATTATGTTTCCGAGTAGGAAATTGCAAGATCTATCAAAATCAAGAAAAAGAAACGGGGTTACTATTTAAAAAAATTGTCAATGACGTCACTGCCCAAAAATGTGAAGTGGGGGAAAATTGAATTCTATTTAAAAAATTGCGCTTTGAGTAAACAAAATTGACCTGTCCGAGCATTTTTCGAAAAACCAACTACTTCCATTATAATGAATATATTCCTTTCATTTGAACCATACTGTATGTTTCACATGGCAGTTAACCTGTTAAATTTAAAATATTTATTTAACTAAAACTGAAATCTCGTGATGGAGTGAAGAATCCGCTAAATGTTCCCTTAATACTTCTCCAAATAGGGGAAAGTTTTCACGCCGGCAGAGTGGTTTTGCAACAAATTCTTTACTATTATCGGCGAAGAACATCTTGAATATCTGGGCAGATTATCAGGATATGTCTTCCAGGTTATTCGAGCAATAGTTTCAACAACTGATACAGAATTTTGCATCAAATGCGGTTGTAGTCATGGATAATGCCCCGTACCATTCCCGAAAAACAGGTGAAATACCAAAATTGAAGGTTCGCAAATATGTTTTAACATATCCATGTAACATATCCTACTACAGCTTTAAAAAAATCTGCTGGCTATTATATTGAAGGGATTAAATCTTAAACTCATGTATGTTGTTGATGAGATGGCTAAAAGATTCGTTCATACCTTTATACGTTTGCCACCATATTATTGCACATTCAATCCTATCGAATTGTTTGGAGTAATATCAAGGGAGAGGTAAAAAAGAGAAATGTCACTCACAACATTATCTCAAAGAGTGTTAGATGTCATAGGAGAAGATGTTGCAGGAATATTTCCAGAAATATGGACCAATTGTGTTCGCCATGTCAAGAATTTTAAAAATAATTATCGAATATTTCTGAGTCATTCTTGTATCATAAATCTGGAAGACACGTCAAGTGAGCGGTAATGAGAATTCTTAATTTTATTTTTATTTATTTTTTTTTTTTTTTTTTCGATTTATTTAATCTATTTTATAAATAATATAAATAAATAATATAATCTAAAAATTATTAAACAAATACCTTTTATATATGATGAGTCCATTTCCAAAACTTCTTAAATCCACTCAACCATTTTTTTCAGTAAACGAATAAAACCTTTCAACGTTTTCATAAGTACATTAATTTTTTTATAATTATCTTGGTATCATCATGGTGTATCACTACTTAATTTGTATGTTTTAAAATAAAATTGTCATGGAAATAAGCTCAGAATTTCAAAAAAACAAATGGATTTAAGCAGTTTTGACACAGTACGCTGGTTCTAAAAAGTTTTGAATAAGTCAGAAGTGGATAAAAAAGAGTTTTGGATACCTAAGTAAAACAATCTTTTTGTTATAGAAAAAACTTTAATATCCATGTAAGTTTGAATTTCAAAAAATCAAAGAGAAAATTAAAAAATGGAATATCCAATATCAGATCCGAAGCCCATCTTCTCCCACGTTGGGGAGAGTCGTATCTTCATCAGGCGCTTCTAGCTGATCATCATCATTATTATCAATAATCCTTTGATAAAATGTTAAATCTACCCCACATACGTTTCTCCAATTGATTGGAACTTTTTTTGGCAATAGTTTTGGAATAATAGTCGCTAGACTTTTTTCCTTTTTTCAGCACAGACTTGTACAACCCCATATCGGCGCGGTAATTAGCTTCACCTCTAACAAGAACTTTTTTCCTGATAAACTAGCTTCTTTCTTGATTATCATCCGCTTCGCCGAAGAAAATTGGAAATGCCATTGGCCAGGTGGTTTCACATGAGTCTTTACTGCTTTTTTCCAATCAAAAACATCAAGTCACTTTCCATGTCTAGTACAGTCGCAAACTCGGAAAATATAGCCCAATACTCCTTTGGATCAATTATGACCTCTTTTTTTTTTTTCACAATCTTCTCTATTCTTCCGAAAATTCTGTCTGGTGGTAAATATGGGTGGCCTACAATAAGATAGATGATGTAAATCTTCTCAACGGCAGATCTGGTAAAGTATAGCCAATTCATCAGCATACCTACATAGGCAAAACAAAAGTTACATTAAGAAAACCACAAAAAAAATACTTATCTATGATAGTGACGTTCTTGTTTTGTCCTGGGCATCCGTCGCAATAAAGTTTTAATACAGTAACGTTTGTAAGGCTCAAAGAAGTGATTTTTGCATGTAATATCGATGAAATTTCATTAGATCCCTTGCTTCTAAGATTTTCTGTCCATGTGTAACAAGTAATAGTATCCATTGTCTGTTTGGCTTTTGAATGGCCTTCGCAAACTGTGAAGTTGTGTAGGTACAACTGCCTAGAATAATAGGCGGCCTGATCGGAACAATAGTATCATGATCGGGAACCATATTTTTTTGGCAATTAAATGTTAATTTGATTACGTTCTCTTCCGAGTATTGTAGCATTTCAACAAATGCTTTTACTTTCAATTGATGCACTCGCAATCTGCATATTAGTTCGGTCTTCATTTGCCCAGTTGAGATTGAAATGAGACCTTTCAGTCTAATACACTCTGAACAAGCGTCTGTTGCAGGGCTCTTACAACTAATATTAAAATTAGTAACAAAGATATTGCGAGAGTATTCATATTTTACAAGAAAGTCTGGATTCTGGTTACAATAGGCTTTCCACAAATGCCTGATACAGTCGCTGGGCGTATATTGACATTGGGACCTTTCTCTGCCATAGTGTGAATCGACGCACTTCAGATTCAAGATAAAATTTCTTATACGTTCCTTTCTCGTCAAAAAATGTCTGCTTCTTTTGTCGCCATCTCTATTTTCTTTCGGCTGAGTACCCTGGGCGAGATAGTGCCTGCACACATTTTGGACTCTAAATCTTGACATATTTGAGGATAGAAAGAAAAGCTTTGCTACAAATTTCCCGTTGACCTTCTTTAGTGTTAATAAAGTAGGAGACAGTGACTGAATTAGGACGTGTCCCCTTTGTAGGACGGCGTCTTTTTGGCTGCCTTTGTGACGTATGTTTCAAAATGAACTTGTCTTGCTCTATCTTATTTCTATTTGCATAAAATGCGCCATGAAATTTTCTTATGTCTTGTATGGACAACGCAGAACAAGAAAAATTGAGTTTCTTATGAATGCATTTGGATGAGTGGGGAGTTTTTTAGGTATATGCCTGTGAAAACAAAGAAACCACTTAACATCACAAAATGCAATAATTTGTAGAGAGCTTACCTTGCACGTTGCTTTTGGGTTTTTTTTTTCCACTTGCACACATCACGTAACTTTTTTCTACTCTTTCCAGGCGTAGCTAGAAGTAGATTCTTCTATAATATAGTTTTTTTCTTCTATTATTTAAATTAAGTACTCTATTAATATTTCACGAAATAAAATCAACAGATTGGGAACTGGCTTAACCAGTTTGAAATCAAAATACAACAAATAAAAACAAAACAAATCCTGCAAGAAACAAGCTGGAAGTACACAAGTGGAATGTCAAGGACTAAAGCAGTTATGATAGCATATACACGATCACGCCATTCACAATGCAACGGCTTAAATAAGTTTTGATAACAAATGGATTTAGACAGTTTTGAAACAGTAACCATGATGGATTAAAACAGTTTTGTTATTGTAGGCAAGTTTCAGTAGATTTCTCGAGTTTTGGTGCCAAAATTAGTTGCTGTCATAAAGCTGTTTAAAAAAGGAAGCCGCCTGGATCTCAGTTTTAATATAAAATGGATTAAAGCAGTTTTGGAAATAGGCTCCTCATATAAAAAAATATTTTATAAAATTTGTTTATTCCCTTTTAAGATATTCCCTATACTTAATGTAGACAAACAAAATATGATCTTATTAAATCATATAACAAATCATATATTAAAATCCGACGTTGTGCTTGTTCACTGCTAGATTCTTTTGATGTTGCTTTAAATGTGAAACAACAAAAAAATAAAATTAACTCGAACTGTATATGGACAAATTTATGGACTCAAAATAAGTTGATTTAACCAAACTTACCTATATGCCAACTTGCTTCGTTAACAAAGTTAAATAAAAATATATGTTCTTTCTTTAATCTCCAGTATGTTATATGGCCAAATAGCAGGAACAATTTTTCTATTACGATCATAAGCGTCTCGTTAGGAGTAGGGTAACTGACATTTTCCCTAATTTTTTTTATCTTCAAGAGGAACATTTTTGAGTAGTTTCCTATTTCATTACCAGAAATTTCAAAAAGTGACAAGTTAAAAAAATTGAAACACCTAATATTCGTACCAAGTTTGATCATTTAAAATGGCTGAATTCAGGAGATTAGAGAAAAAAAAAACGAATATTTTTATTTAACTTCGTTGACCTCTAGCGGCCAAACGAAGCAAGTTTGTATATAGGTAACAAAATCGACGTGCTCTATGCTAATTCGAAATTAGCAACGCAGTCAGTATCTTTTAAAAAATAGCAAAATATTTTATAATATTGCAAGATACTAAAAATGTAGTGTGGTAAAAAAATACCCATGTGCCCTGATGGTTTCGTTCGAAGCTAGCGGATTCTAGCAGAGCACCTTAATATTTGTAAAATACAAGGAGGAAAAAATGTTAAATAGGGTATAAAAATAACCTAAAAATATGTCAACACAAAATTCCTAAGATTCTCTACTGGCTTCATTGAAAGCTAGCAGAGCACTATGATTTTTTTTTATAAAACGGAGAGTATAAAGTTTTTGTATAGGGTATACAAATCGCCTAAAAAGGTGGCATATGTTTTAACTGAAAATTGCCTAGGTGCTCTGCCTTCCTAGGCATGAGATAATTTAATAACTAATATATATTTAAATTTTTGTGTAGGAAACATTCAGAAGAATTAGAAATGCCGCCAAAAAAGAATAAACAAACCCCTAAAAATGCATTCTATTACTTCATGCTCCATTTTAAAGAAACCCATGGTAATAAATTCAGCAGCATGAAAGATGTAGCTGATGCCGCAGGTCCCCGTTGGGCTGGAATGAGCAAGGATCAAAGAAAACCTTTTGAAAACCGAGCCTTAATGGAAAAAAACCAAATGAGAGCAGTTAAACTTACTTCAGATGGGTTTGATGTCGAGGAGTTAGAAAGACAAGAACGTGAAGAACAATGTAGAATTCAAGAAATGAAGGATGATATTAATTGCAATTTAAGGTTATGTAGTGAGGCTGGTAGTATACAAGACGAAATGTTCTTCATAATACATGTAAACATTTTTTGCTATTGTACAGCTGAAAATCGGTATTATCCAGCTGAAATTGCAGTCGCTTGTTTCAGTCTAGAAGATGGGGTACTTCAACAGAATATTTTTAACCGAATTATTAAGCCTGGACCTCTTCCTTTGGGTTATGCCAGCGAAGCTAAGCTTATTTCAGAAGAAACTCACCAGTTACCACCTCCTTTAGCAGGCGAAGACGAATCTAATCTTGCTGAAGTTTATTCCGATTTGAAATATTTCTTATCCACAAAATTATCTGGTTCTAAAAGGTTTCCACCTCTGTACACTGATGAAAAAATGTTAAAAATGGTTCAACACATCTTGGATACTTGGTGTTACGATTTTGGAGAATCTGCACCGTTATTTAAAGTTTATAACCTCCAATATATGTTTAAAGATTTAAAAAATATTGTAGCTAATGCTAATGTTTGGCCAACTGATACTCCTGCTAAAAGGGAGATCGAGAAGGATGCCTATGCTTATACTAATGGGATCTGCTGTGAGTTCCATGATCTTAGTGATGTTGTCGTTTATTGTAGTCGTTCTATAGTAGTAAGATATGCTTATACTATTTGTGATAACTGTTGTCAAGATTTGGGAATAATTTTAGTACCTGGTACACACATTCCCGATACTTCAATGACTCCATTCAAGGGTTCCAGATCTTCAAGTAGAGCCAGTTCAATTTCCGAATATTCCAGATCATCATCCAACTTGAGACCAACAATTCGTGATAGTGATTCAGACACAGTTATATCATTTTCTAGTAAATCAGAATGGGACAATCAATCACAAATGTCAGAATCGTCAAATTACAGCCTGGATAGTGATGGTTTTCCTGGTTTAGGTTTTAAAAAGAAGTCGGCTTCTACGAATTCTCAGCCTCACTTTTCTTCTAATTTTTCGCAATTAAGTCAGTCTTCTTCGAGAAGTTATGCAGGTGCCATGGGAACGGCAGGGCTCAGTCGAAGGACTGCCGAAGCTCCATCTTCAATTTGTAAGGATTTTGATGCTTTGAGTGTGCAAGAATCTGATAATGGGTTCGTGCCAAGTCAACGGTTTGAAAACGATTTGAATAATTTTCCAGCTCTAGGAAAAGGGAGAGGCAGGAGATTGAATTAGTTTTATACTTGTTCAATCAATCTACCCATTTTTGCAACTTATTGACTTATAGACTAACAACTGGTTGCAAAAACGTTCTTTAAAATTTACAATCCTGATAAACTTTGACAAATGTTTAGACTATGAGTAATTTGAAGTTTATTACATTCAGACATCACATTCTCAAGCTCAACTGTTCTATAGTAATTTTTATGTTTAATAAGTTTTCACAACAAGACTAATTGACTAGTGTCATACCCCTCGATAAATTTTAATGGACATTCTTGGAACCGGCTGTAAGAGCCGGCGATGGCCAGACATACGTTACAGTATCAAGCTTAAAATTTTTCATGTGTGTGTGTACACTGTAGTAAGTAAAAACCGATGGGTAAACCACTAAAGTCAAAACGTATTCGTATTTCGAAAATCACAATATATCCCCCTCACTTGTTAAAGAGATGGCACTAAGTTTGCAGCGCGGTAAATTCAAATATAATTTTAAGGCAAAATTTAAATTTGGAAGGTTACAACTTTTCTAATATAAAACTTATTTTCATGTTTATATTTATTTAAGCGTTTGAATAATAGATATAATAATCCAAAAATTGTATTTTGGAACACCTTGTTCTTTGCCATCATTAAACATCATAAACTATATACAAATATCCTTATATCCAATAGAATGAAAATACATAATATTTATCGGGTCTTTCTTCATCTAAATGTCCTACTGCACGCTGTGGGACATATATACCGATGTTATGACCGGTATTTTTATTGCTGAATTTCGTTTGTGGTTTTTGTGTTTTGCTCAATGTCGTTTTAACATTTTTTTGGCTCTTGATATTAAAGCGACGACTCCTTTGAGTAGTTCTGGCATTTTAAAAGTGATCGTGTTGGTGTTCACTACCTGCGTGGTGTAGCTTAACTAAAAATTGTTAAGCGTGTTATCCACACTTTCTTAGGTATCGTTCGGCTTAGCACCTGATTGTCTACCGCGCCGCTGATTTCAGTTTCAGTCCCTTTTGTTTCTGGCTTCCTAGAGGTAGGGTTATTGTCCATGTCAGCTTCTTCATTATAGTCTGACTCCATATTTACATCTTTTTCCCACTCAGCGAATTCATCTGCTCGGTCGTCCTCTTTTATTGATTTACAATTTTCAGTTGTTGTTTCAGTGGAAATATTCTCGCGGAATGGCGGGAATTTTGAAATATATTCATTCGGCAATAAAAATTGAAAAGTATATTGCATGTTCCATTAAACGAGCTGTAAATCTGGGCGCTATTTTTATTCTGATTGCTAAAAATAATACGATATTTTTTATTTTTAGCTATTACAATAAGAACAGCGTTTGGATTAACACATTTAAAAAAAAAATGGTGTAAAATATTTTATTTGAAAAATTATAAAGCTAATTTAATATATTTTAAAGTCAAGGATAACTCTAGCCATATCCATTCTACTGAAAAAAAAAAAAAAAGAAACACTATATCAAATTAAATCATTCGTTAGTTATTAAGAGATGTTTGTGATATACAGTGTCGGATATTAAATGTTTTACAATACATTATGCTAATGTGTAAGAAAAAACTACAAAGAGTTAGCATTAGGAATGGAATACTATACACGTAGCCAGCCAGCTGCGTGGGGATGTATCTCGCCATGTGCCTGTTCATATTACACAATGCTAGAAAAGCATATTGAAAAGTGTTCAATAGCCGATACTGTATATAAATGCTAAAATCAACAAGTGAAATAAATTTTTTTAGTTTAAATGGACCCCTACTTCGAAAAAGGAGAAAAACCGAAACAGAAAATTATTATACTTGTATTTTAAAGGCTGTTGCCACTGGAAAACTATTATCTAGGGCTTGGATGACAGCCATAGGACTCCCTCCTTGAATCGTGTCCATAGGAAAGCATAAGATCTTAGTTAAATTATATTAGAGGGTATTAACTAAAAAATATGAAAAATTATTACAAACTTACGTCAAAAGTGGCACCTACATTAAAAGAAGGGAAAACTGAAAACAAAAAATTGTTATACATGAATTTTAAAGGCTTTTCCCACTGGAAAAGTATTATCTAGGGCGGGGACCCTTGGATGACAGCCATAGAAATCCCTCCTTGAATCTTCTTTTTGTGAGTTTGTTGTACGTTTTGCTTTCCATATTAAATAAGTAAGCACTTAATGGGTCGTATGATTGAACGTTTATGTTATCCGTAACGTACATGTTAGGCCGAGTTTTAACAGTAACAAGGCAAGTTCGTACGATGGAAAACTTTTTCTAACACATTACTGTTATTTTCCGCCTGTTATGTTCTAATTTAACAGGTTTCCATCATAAGAACTTGCCTCGTTACTTTTAAAATTTGGCCTAACATGTACGTTACGGATAACGTAAACGTTCAATCATAGGACCCATTACAACACAATAAATATCGCTGAAACAAAATTAATAGTAATAAACGGTATAAATTTCGTAGAAGAAAAAATAAAAAAATTTTCACTTGTCAATACTGACACTTCATGCTTCGCTTGTCAAAAACTTCGTCTTCAACCAATGAACGTGCCGATCTCAGACGTGTCAAAATTTAAAACGATACTAGCACCATGTGGCTCTGTGTCTGACCGCAGCGTAACTCAAAGCCATTTCTTGAATCCCAGTTACATTACTATAGGGGATATATTGTGTCGAAAATCATCTAAACATTCGTATGATTTCGGTGATTTCTTCGAAATCCACCTTAATTTTAGACGATCTTGGCGATTTCGACGAAATCCCCCTTAATTCCATACAATTTCGGTGATTTTGTCGATATCTCCTTTATTTTTATAGGATTTTGGTGATTTCGGCGAAATCATTGTATAAAATTTCCTGTGATTTCCCTATAAATTGTCTTAAATATTCAAATGACCTTTTTTTTAAGCTCTTCACTTGGTGTTCGGTCGACCTTTTTTTTTTATTTTCGACACTTCCCTTTTGTTTGGATCCATAAGCTACTGCGTTTATAGTTCTGAGCAACGAATTGATTTCGAAGTGATTTCGGTGATTATTTCACATGATTTCGACCATAATGATGATTTCGGAAATTTGTAGTGATTTTGGGGAGTTTAAGTGAAAACGTACCTGTATTTCGCCCTTCGGTAAGAACGTTTGTATGTTATAGACCTTGAGTGAGACGGTTTCGACAGGTATGTTATGTTGGGAATGGGGTGTTAATAGACTGCCACCTAAAAGATCTATTGTGTCTCCTTCTTTTCGGCAGGTAACAGGTTATATCAGAGTACATAAAAATATCTGGGTAAACTTTATAGTATTCAAATTAGGGTACAATAAAACTTTTAGGTTGCAGTGTATTAACACCTCATTCCCAACATAGTATTAAATTTAATTCTTTAATACGTTCAATTGAATAACTTCCGCTAGACGCATGGTCACAAAAGAATGGGTCATGGTATTAAATTTTACATGTGTTATTCAGGCAGTTATTTAACAATATTATTTGAACAACTAGACAGAAGGATCCAACATCCTCCCAGACGGTAAAAGGTGAGTGTGAGTAAAAGAGCATCATTTTTGGTCATCAGTGGTAGTGAGAGCATTAGTTGAGTTTATCAGTGAAGCCATTAAGAAAATTTTTTTTTAGATATATCGTTAAGGATATTTTTGTATACACTGTGTCAAAAAACGTATGGAAAACTGTTTTATTGTTCATTTTACAGAAAATTGTATGCAATAGGCGAGATGTACTCATCGTATTAGTGCTACATAAACATTTACGCGCCATTTTGTATTAAATCTATGAAAAGTTGCTGCTTTTTGTTTTAATAAATATCTACTAGTTTTCAAAAGGGAGGGTTTCCCACCTTATTTTCTTAAATGTATCTGTAGAGTGCTGCCTTATCATTGCACAGATTTAAAGCTCTTAATATTCTCGAGACACACAACATCGCGAAGTATTCCCAGTGGCGCGCATATAAATACAATTTCATAATATTTTTGCTTTTCGTGAGAGGTCCGGTGTGCTATTAAGTTGGAATCATATAAAATATTTTTACTAATTTTAAGAAAATAAGTTATTGTTTATAGAAAGTTCTGCATAATCTAAAACCTAAAATACAACTATCGGATATAATTTTTTTTTCAGTCGTATACGGGGTTTGTCAAAAAATATAACAATTAAAAATTGTTATGAAGAATTGAAAACTTCCCTTAAATCTACCCTGAAAAATAAGATTTCGTTTTTTTTATACACTTAAATTTTTCCCTACACATTTATTTTTGAAATTAATAATATTTGAACTTTAATATCAGACATGTCATTGTATCAGTGTGCATGCTAGATTAAATATTAATGTGTAAGTAAAAATGTTCAAAGCTGTCGCAGAGAAAAACGTGTAAAAAATATGTTCAGGGTAGATGGATGTAATGCTATATTTGAACGAAATTTTCAATTTTTCTTTACAATTTTGGATATTATTAAAAAAACGAGGTACTTTATTCTTACACAAAATTCACAATTTTTTGACAAGGCGCTCATGTAAAACTGAAGATTTATGTATTTTCAACGATAATTACCACATTTTCAGATTTCTATGATTCTGTTTTTGTTAGAAAAGGGGTACTTCAGAGGTGCTATGTAAATTTGGTCAAGATATAATAGGGTCCATGAAAATGTTTATCGATAATTCTTTACCACCTTCTCTGATTTCTATAATTCTGTTTTTTTCTGTTAGAAAGGTGGTAACTCAGGTGTAGACACATATAAATTAAGTTAAGATATGGTAATGGGAACTATGATAAAATCAGCAAGTTCAATTTGTAAAGACATCTGCACGATTTTAAGTCTGTTTTTTAAATTACTTTAAGTATGACAGGTAACAGTAGATCCATCGTTTTCTGTTTTTTTTTTCTCAAAATTTTAACTATTTCTCAGAATTTTGAGATCAATGTTTAAATATTTTTTTTATGAATTTTAAATGCATTTTTGAATACATTTAAAAAAAATAACTAATAAAATTGATCTAAATTTAATTTAGTTATTTATTTTTAATGTTTTGTTAAAATTTTACAAATAAAAAATTATACATAAAAAAATAAATATTTTTCAAAAACAAAATAAATTTAATAAAAATATTTATTCTACCTATTTATAATTAAATATGCAAACGAAAGACCATCGTATCCACAAACAAGCTTCAACTTTTGGAAAGCGAAAAGCTTTTGCCCAACATTTCGACGCGACAAGTTCTGATAATATATTTTTTAGTAATTTTTTAGAATTTGCATCGTGAATTATTTTATTGCTTAAAAAATGTATTGATTTAGTACTTAATTTAGTGTCATAACAAGGAGCCTTAAGAAAGTACTTTTTTTAAGCTGTCAATGGGGTGCAACTTTTAAGTGACCCATACTCACCCAAAAAATCTAAGCTTTATACTACAATGTATGTCTGGAGATCGTTGGCTCTCACTCTATTATTTGTTAAGAATAACATGTTTTATTATAAGGATATGCTTTTGTTATTTTTTTTTGTATTCGTTCTCATTTATTTTTTAAATAAAAATATTGTGGACTTTACGTTACGTTTTTTTATTATTAATTTATTTATTTATCAGAAACATACAGGTTGCCCTAATTACATGGTCCTGTAACATAAATTATTTTATAATGACGTATCAATTTTCTGCAATATAATACTATTACAATAATAATAATTAATATATGTATTAAGATCTAGTTTAATATAGGAGGCCAGTACAAAGACATATTTTGTATAATTAGGTAATACGTACATTCGATGTGATGTATGTGTTGTATAACTGGTATATTTGATTTAAAAGTGTTGTTGGTTTTAGAAAAAATGACTTGTTCCCTGGGACGGGTTCTGTGATCAGCCACATAAAAGTTGATTTTTAATTAAAAAATAGTGAAATCCGAGTTACAATAATAATCTGAACAATATTATTGATTATTTCCCTTGCCTGTCAACATTGACATTTTACGTTATCGCAATTTACGTTATCGTTAGAACCAATCTGAACCAAATAAATCGTCTATTTCCACTATTTCAAATCGACTATCCATGCCTATAGTGCTTGATATTCACCTATGTTGGCAGCAACTCGCATACTTGATTATATATGTCTAATATTTAATAACGGCTACTGTCAAATATATTTATTGTTAGAGTACAAGCTAATATCTCATGAAACGTTTCAAAATGAACCATAAATAAAAGTTATTTTATTGTGTATTTTTTAATTTAAG